CATTCAGAAATAATGAAACAAATACAGGCAAGTTGTTCTTGAAAAATATGCATTTCTTTAAACCAAACCAAAAGACATAATATATAAATATATTGTTATAAACATTTAACATTGAATATTTGATTTAAACTCACTTTCATAAAAATTAAGCATTAGATTCCTAAAACAATAAATGATTATGGGAAAAAAAATAAAAAAATGAGTGAAATAATTTAAAGAAATTTTCAAAAACTTCTCAAAAATTAATTGTTCAACAATTTCAGTCAAAACCATTTGAGTACCATTGCTGAAAAAATAAATTTAAGCATGTAAATTTAGATTGCTGCATGAACTATAAAACATATACTAAAAATGCATATATTTATTAACTTTGGCTTTTTTTTTTTTCATTGGAAATTGGGAAACTATTTTATAGGTTAAACAGATTATATCACTTTTTTTAAAGCAATATCTATCAGACTTTTACATTAAGTTTGAATGAATAGAATAATTTTATTTTTAAGCTTTAAAAATTACTTTTTTTCTTCTGGAGTGGGAGAAGTAATTAATGACTTGTTCACAGAGGAATAATTGGAATTAAATTTACTTAAAAGCTTTTGCAAAAGTTTAACTTACAGTAAAAGTTTTAAATAAGTCAGTTAAGTTTAATTTAAGATTACACTTGAAAGAATTCTTAGATGGAAATACAATATGAAGTAATGTTTTGCTTTTATGTCTTTTATGAAGAAATCTATCAATTTAAACATAAAATGATCCAAAGATTCTGCAGATTATCAGAAATGGTTTTTTGACACAATTTCTTATGAAGAGGATTTAACATACATTAAATATTACATTCAGAATAAAACTCAGTATTTGAATTCAATACAAGATAATCTAACTAGTAAGAGAGAACTAGTTTATGTAGATTATGTCCAGGTAAAATATCATTAATTATTTAGTTACTGAGAAATTGTAACATTCAGTTCAGAATAAAATCAGCTTGAAGCTATTTGTCTTGATCAGGTTTAAGATTTGGCAAACTCTTATTGACATCTTGCCATTTAATTATTGATACAGACTCATGTATTTGGTTTCTGTGTATCACTCTTTGATATATAATGAATTTGAGCTGCCTTTTTCCTATGTCAACATTTTTAGTAATAGAATTTTTTCTATTTATTTCTATTAAAAAAAGTGATCTGAATAATGTTTATAGGTGCAGTGCACAATTTGTTTTTAGTGTACGTCCTTTAGATACTGTATTAATCTAAATTAAAAAGTGAAAATGTTGGATATTTATACTCAGTAACTTCAAGCCAAATATCAATTATTCAATGCAAAAAAATTAATTGCAAAGATTTTATACTCATCATCCTGTAGATTAGTTCCAAGTAATGAAAAAGTATATATACATAAGGAATTGGTCAACTTAGTTTGGATTTTAGCTGTGGCTGCTTATACTCAGTTAAAACTAATGTTATTGCGAAGGTATGAATTTACTTTTCTCTGCACTCTATCCATTATCAGATATTTTAACAAATGTCATGTCACAATAGTTGATAGATGAATGGCAACTTGGGCAACTCATTCATATCTACTTGCTCATGCAGTAACAGCAAAATAGCTGTTACTCCCAGTCAACCATGAGAGTGCTAATAAAATTGTTGTTTTCTTTCACACTTTGCAATTCCTTGTATCTTAGTGTCTTGCTTAGTATGAAATGGTTAGAAAAGCTCTTCTATTTTTTTCTTATGATCAAAAGAAAAAAAAAACAACTAAAAAGAGAAAAAAAATAAGATGAAAGTAAACTCTGATCAAAATTAATCATAATTCAACAGATTATTAAAATATTTTAAATTTGATTATTTTGTTTTGATTTAACTTTTTAAGTATCTTGCCTAATTAAAAAAGTTTCATTGGACAGCACCATATCATTACTTTAATTTTTGCCACTAATTTCTATACACTAAAAAACAAAAGCAAATAACAGAAGTTTGATTTATCATCTTCAGATATTTAAAAGCTCTTACATAATTAATGTGATGTTCATGATAACATAAATAGGCTTCTGATCAAATTTGAACCTAATGAAGGTATTTTTGTTAAATATTAGTTAACTGATGTATTGTATATCTCGGATATGTACAGAATTTAAGCAGTGTTTCAGTATCAAAAGGAGTTTCACATTTGAAAAGCAATTGTCACCAAGCAAAAGTTTAATCTTGTATCATAGACTCTGTGATTATATCTTATGAATTATAATTTAATTAAATAAATTCATTGACTAGAAGACAATTATAAAACTTTGGTATCAAATAAACACATTGGTCCCAAAGTTTCTTATTTTTTCTTGAATAGTTAAATGTATACGTGTGTATGCATGTATAGCCACGCACACAAAACCTAGGAAACTACAATAGTTAACTATATTGACTTTTTTTTTTCATGGGAGGTAATTCACATATTGTTTAATGTGAATTACCTCCTTTATGTTATTACTTTCTAAAAGTATCAAAGCATCTTAGAAATTTTATTTCATCGAACTGAAAAGGCAATAAATTTATTTTAAATATATTTAGCTATATAAAAGATTTTAAAATAGTTTTTAAAAATTGTTACTATAAATATGCTTAAAATATAACTAATATGCCTTTTTTTTTCTTTTTTCTCTTAAAAAGATTACAAGAATATTGTATTTTCTGTATTTGATATTTAACAAGATATTCTCCATTCATAATGACTAAAAAATATCTTCAAGGTTCTATATGTAAAGTTGAATTATTTAATAGGTTAATATTTACACAAATACTGTAGATGACTATTACATTTATTCAATCTAAAATCCATGATATTGTAAATGGGGAAGAAATTGTCTTAAATGCCATCAAATAGGAAAAATGACTTAATTTTCAAATATAAGTAAAAATGTTTACCATAATGAAAATCATGTAAACTTGGTGCATCACATATGATTGTATTACTGTATGTAATATTAAAAAGACAAACTTGGGTTTATTGGTTATTTTTTTCTATACAGAAGTATTTTAAAAATGTTTTCAAATTTTGTATATATTATTTGTGTTAGCAATAGGTTTACAAAAATTGAAAGTGAAAAACTTGCAATATACTAACTAATATTAACTAATATTTTCAAATAGTTATGATCTGTGTAAAATATTAAATGTATTTTCATTTTTTTTATCCATTTTCTATAAAATAACTCTAATCACAGAGACTTTATATAATTATATCAGAACTGTAGTAGCTGGTGTTTTAAGAATTAAAAAATATATATATTGTTTTTTCAAAAGAACTTTTTTTTTTTTTTCCCTTTTATTCTATTTTCCTTTCTTTTATTTTTTCTTGTTTAAAAAAATTAAAACTCATAAAAATAATTTTATTAGTAATTCATTTTTTGTTCATATTTTAGCTACAATTCCTGTAAAGAGAAACAAAAAGTCAGACATTTTAACTTTTCTCTCAAATTTATTTTCAGTGATTGAAAGACTTTAAATTTAGGAAATTAAGTATTATTTAAAAATATTTTTCTTTTTAATGTCTTTCAGGACATAGGCAATTATGGCTCTCCACAGATATCTTTCTTTATTATCTGTGAATTAGTATGCATTCTTGAGAAGGTGGGAAGGAGATGGATTCATGCCTTTCCTAAGAGTATTAGTACAAACATGAACACAACTAAGCCAGAATTCAAACTCAACCTGCCAATTCAACTTTCTAAACTGATAACCATTACACTACCTGCACATATATATCAGGTTAACCAAAAAGTTAATTCTTTTATTCAGATTAAACTGACTCTATTCAAAAAGATTGCTTTTAATTGTAACAACTCTCATTTAAGCATGCTTTTTTTTCTCTTTTTTTTTTTTTTTTTTTTAAACATCAACATTTGTATATTTCAGTTTATTAATTCTATGATTGAAGAAAATAAGCAACCTTTTGGCATATATATTATCTTTAAAAAAAAAACTATAAAAATGTGACTCTAGCATAAAAACTTTATACACATTATGGAGAAGGTTCTGTAAATGGTCAAACATATCAAAAGTAGTTTGTAATAGTTTGTGTTGGAAATTTTTTACTGAATAATGTTTCATAATTGGGTAAAGCAGTTGAGGTTGGTAGCAATCAAATAAAGACATTATGTGAGAATAATCAACATTATACATTGTTGAATATAATCAACATTCTCAAAATATCCAAAACAATCAGGTGTACTAGTTTGTTTACCCAAGTCACTTTGATATGTGGTTTTCAAACAAAAACTAAACCTATTGACTATATTTCTGTATATGATTAGCTACTTAAACATAAGAAACATGTTCTTTTCTTAAGTTTGTTTTATTTATATATATATATATATATATATATATATATATATATATATATATATATATATATATATATAGTCTTTGGTAGTGAATAATTGACAACAATGTGGAATGTCAGGGATCATGAGGCAAGCAAAATAAATCTCTGTATCAAAGACCAGATGTCATCCCAAAAATGTAATGCTGTACATATAATAGGATTTTTCTACTATGAGTTCTTTTCAGAGAAATGATTGATTGAAGCAAGTACCAAACATACCAATTAGCATCTGGAATTAGTGAAGACAAAGGGCATAATATTCTGTTGGTAATGCTAGACCACATTTCTTTGAACAAGCAAAAGTTGATTGGAAAATTTTCATTTATTGTCTGTATTCACCTTTTAGATTATAGACTTCACACATTCTTCTGAGAATTATATATACATATATTCTAATATAAATTCATTTCATTTTATGCAATTACATGCATAAGTGTTTGAGCATTCTTTTTGAGAATTTAATTATGATACCTTCATACCATCATTTATTTCTATGCTCTCTCAAACTCGCTCATCCATCCACCTATATACATTTCGATGATTCTTTGCACCATCTTCGCCCCCACTTCTTTTTTCTTTTTTCTTTTTTTTTTTTTTTTTACTGATATCATACATTATTTCCACAGCATCTGCCATTGTTATCTGGTTTTATGGTTCAAGTGAATGCCATTATCACTCTTCCCCCGGTGACTTTTGAACTACCTGCAAGGGACCCAAGTAAAGAAAAAACTGTAAAAGTATCACCACCCTCTGTTTATACAGGAGCAACATCTGTTCAATTCCGATTAATCTCTTCTGAATACAGAGAAGGACAGGTAAGTACTGTTAGGGAAAATACTATAAAATTTTGGAAAACTTCCTTTTCCTTGACATACTGCAAATTTACCATAATTTGTGATCAACTTCTATATTTTTAAGTATAAGGGGAGAATTAAAATGTATAAAATACCATCTGTAAATTAAAAACATAGCTATTGATTCTGAAAAGTTCTGTTATATAAACCTTAAAATATAGTTATTTGTTAATGTCAAAATATATATATATTAATCTTCAAAATAAAATTTTGTGATATTTTAATGAAAATATTTTATTCATCAAGTAGATGTAAATATCAAATTGTTAGTTTAAATTTTTAAATGTATTATACTAATTTAAATTTTGTTTTTATTTGAAAATGTTTTTAATCCCAAATTATCACAAATATTAAACCAGTTGATATGTCAAGATGTCAACACTTTCGAAAATTAAGTCAACTTCCCAAAACTAGTCATTCATAGAAAAGATCCTTGAAACATTTGTTAATTTAATGATTATTGGATTATGGCAAAATATTACTCAACTTTAGAATATATTGAAAAATACATTTATTTACAATGGATGTATGTCTGTGCCTGTCAAAACTTTGAGATCAAAATATTAAAATAAAAATAACAAATTTATGCATACTTCGTGTGACTGATGATCAAAAAAAAAATGACAAAATATATAGGGTTCAAAAGTATAGCAACACCAGATAATTAGAACATATGCTAAAATAATATATACCAACTGAAAAAATAGTAATTATAAACTTTTTAACTACTTGATTGTGCTATCCTGAAAATCATTCATTGAAGTTGACCTGTTTTATTACAGCTGAATAACAAGTGTGAAAGGTATGTTACTATTGATTACTGACAAGTAAAATGCCTCAGCTAAACAGAATTTTTTTAAATGAAGGAAATTTGTTTTTATGGTTCATTTGATCTATCATGAAAGTAAACTATTTTTCATAAAAATAAAATTATTGAAATCAAATTCTTTTACAAATCTTAAGAATGAAAGGAGAACTTTTGGTTAAAAAATATCAACTAATACTTTTAATGAAGTAACCTTTTCATAAATAATTTTCATAATGAATAAAAGTTTTATTCAAATTAATTAGTTGATTTTTAGATTTTTTTTTTCAATTGTTTTTCTTGTTTTCCCATTGTAATTTTAAACTCTGTTTCTATTTAATATAAGAAAATCTCTTATGTAAATTGTGGAAATTGATTAAACTTTTCTATGTGATTGAGTAGTTTCTTTCTCAATGAGTATTTTTATAACAAACCCATTGGGATTGTAGTCATAAAGTGATATATACTCCTAAAACTGTAATCAACATTTGAATATTGAATTTCAATTGAAAGTTAAATATAATATTCATTGCAAATCTACTGTGTTACATTTAGTGCATATTTATTAAAATATTTAATCTTACAATGTTTCCCATCATATATGCCCATATTTGCTACCATATATGTTGCTGGGAATTGAAAATGACTATAGAGGATTTTTTTTCTTTAATAGTATATGCACCTGAGAATAACTGTGTGTGTGTATTTTCATTAGACTTTTTCTAATTTTCCAAGGGAAATAACTCTTTCTTTTTCTAATTTGATTAACTTTTATTTTCACTTAACACAAAATAGCTATGAATCTCCTCAACTCAAATATCCGATGAAAAATTAATTCTTGTCACATACTAGACCTTTGTTTAACCATTTAAAAATAATTTTGTTATTACTGTGATGATTGTTCTAAAAAAAGTTTTCTTCATTCTGAAATTTTGCATTCAATATAAAATGTAAATTTACAATTTGCAGGTCAGTTTTAAAAATGTAATAATTTTATTTAAAAAGAAATATCTACAATAATAGAAAGCATGCTTAAAAAAATATAATTCTTGAATTTTAAACTTTTAGCGGGTTCAATTTTTGTTTTTGCTTCAGTTTTTAAGAAAATGTAGTAAAATATTTGAGAAATATATAACTGGTCTTTTTTTATCATTTGTTATCTCACAAAATCAGAAATAGTTTGAGAATTTTACATGTTAGCGATATGATATTGCTTTTAGCACTTAACATATTAGTTTTCTTGTTAGTAAATTAAGTTTCAACTTTAAACTATTTATTGTAGTTTCTTTTGTTTTTTTTTCTTTTACTTGATTGATTTATAGAAATTTGACTTACTAAATATTTTTTTACAAATAGTTATTTCAAGGTGTGCTGCTACATCAATAATTGTTTCATTTTTTTTGTTTTATATGTATGATGCACTAGAGTTGGTAGGGGGAATTTTCATGACCCAGATATGTTAATTTGTGTTGTCTTTGAAATGATTATGCCACAAACTAGGTCTGATGTAAACATAGCAATCTTTGAAAATATGTTGTTGTTAGCAATGTTTTTGTATACAAAAAGATTTTTCATTTTTGTTTCTAGGAAATCTTACTAAAGAACCTGTCAATCTTAAGACTTTCTGCCAAAAATCAGCCTCTTTCACGGAGCCTTTTGTTCCATATCCATGGTGGAGGATTTGTGTCACAATCATCCAAATCCCATGAGGTATGTATTACAAAAATAGTTAACATGCTAATTTCATAATATATATATATATATATATATATATATATATATATATATATATATATATATATATATAGTATTTCTAACAGCCTTATTCTAAAACAATTTGTAGTAACTGTTTTTGCATATACTATGATTATCAGCACTATATTGATATCTTTTATCATAGATCAACTCATTTAATTTTTAAATTTAAAAAAAAGAAAATATTTCATGTATTATGACACTATTAACTCTAAGAGAAAATGATTTAAAGAAGGTATTAACTGTCCACACTAACAAAAACAAAAACTTTGGAAGGAAATGTTTCCTGTGTGAAAAAGTTTTATTATTTTATAACTTCATTTTACATATCAAGTCGCTTCTGGTAGGTACTAAAAATGTTTAAGTGTTGTACCAAAACCAAAAATGGAAATAATATATTGGACAAGTAAAAAAAAAAAAAAAAAAAAAAGAATTTAACTTGGTAAACAAAATTAGCACACAGTATAGTCACAATAAGTCTTTACATTTTAATTTTTTATTTTAATGTGTTTGTTGATTAAATTGAATGAAAATACCTACTCAGATATGTAAATGTAGCAAGAAAATAGTACATATATGAGGCTACCTCAATAATGGCATGTAGTTATTAGCTGAATTTTGATCTCATATTTTCACTGTATAATATCTGAACTAAGTGCAATGACATGGAAGGAGGTTGTTGAAAAAATAGTGTAAAGTAAAAGCTTTCTTTTTTCCTCTTTCCTTCATCATTAGGCTATTATTGTGTTATTGGTGTACCTATGTATTGCAAAGCAACTTGGTTCACAACAAGACCCACAAAGTCACTTGATCATTGAATTAAAGTTGCAGTTAACTTATGAAATAATTTCTTGTACTAAATTTAAATAAAAAGTTAATGATAATAAACACTTTAAAAATACTAGAAAACAAAAAATCTGGTAACCTCAGTAAATATATACTTGTATATATTTTCATTTTGGACATGAAACTGAGCAGATATCTACTTTTGAGAAAAATTTCTTAATAAGGAAGTGTATTTTCCTTAAAAGGGCTTTGTTGAACTGTGACACTGTTTGTATCTGAGCAGTAAAGCACACTGGATCAAATGAGAGACAGGTTCAATTTTTCCTGGAGAGCACATATTTTTTATTATGAGTTCTTGAATACACTAACCAAAAGATGCAATATACACTGTTTTAAATAAAAATAAAAATGGGGCATCTATTTTAAATATGAGTATCCACTAAATAATGTTTGAAATATATATATACACATAATGTGGACACAGATTTCAACACCAAGTGGTGACAGTCTGTTCCATGCAATCTTTATTGCCTGAAGAGTGCATTGAAGCCAGAAACAAACTGTCACTGCTTGGTGTTGACTTCTCTGTTCAATTGTATATTTACATACAGTCAATCTCTAATATTGAGTACTCTTGCCTGTAAATATAGCATGCCTTAAAACTATATTTTTGTCACACACACAAATACATATATATATATAAAATTAAACCACTCCAATTTGTCATCAAATATAGACAGAAATTATTTGAAATTATTTTACAGATATCTACATGGATTCTTGCCATTAAATGAAGGTTAGCAGATTACTCTTGCAAGATATTACTAACAAATTTTGTCTTACAATCTTTACATTTGGAAATCTGTCAGGCCTGGGTTAGCCTAGTAAATATTTCTAATATACTTTTTGCAAGGTATATTAAACAAGTCACTATGCAAATATCAAATGTCTGTTCATTTAATGCTTTCAATTTTAGTGTGCACTATTGATATGAAAAGTTCAACTTGACTGAATCAATTAATTTTTAATTTTTTTTTTTTTTTTAAATATTTTTGAAGGTTTATTTGCGGCAGTGGGCACGAGATCTGAAGGTTCCTGTCATATCGGTTGACTATTCTCTGGCACCTGAGAATCCATTTCCACGTGCTCTTGAAGAATGTTTCTATGTGTATGCATGGGCACTGAAAAATCCAGAACAACTTGGTATGAAATTCTTCAACCCCCTACTGACTCAATTATTTATGCTTTGGTCAACTGTTGTCGAGAAGCAATAGTGATATATCTTTATTATTCTGTTTCTTTGTATGGATGGCCATTATACTTTTCTACTTATAATGGGTATATCTGCCCGATCCCCAACTATTCCAAGTTGGTATCAATTAAGTTTTCTGGCTAAGAAACCTGCATAATGTTGATGAGGAGACAAAAGGGAGTGAAAGAGGAAGGTAAAAAGAATTTATACACACACACACACACACACACACACACACACAAAAAAGACATAGGCTTACTGACTGGATATAAAGAGACAATAAGTGAAAGGTGAAATTCATAAAAATTATGATACATTAAAATTATGGAGATATAGAGCAAAAGAAAGAGAGGATTTAAAAATATTCTTATTCTTTTTTTATTTATTTATCCCCCCACATTAAATCAATCCGTGGTTGTGCAATATTTATATACAACCATGGACAAGCAATGAAAATTCAAAGAGATATGGGACAGAATGAGAATATACATAGAAAAGTTGAGAGAAGCAGATATTTACAATATTTACACCGTTTGGACTATTGTCTTCATCTTTATTGCCATATTCACAAGCTTTTGGCTGCTCCGACCTTCATCAGGTTGTTGCGGACTCGGTAGCGTGCAGTGCTGGTTTATTTAAAAGTGGCCTTGTGCCAGACACTACGCTAAACTACCGAGTCCACAAAAAATGTATAAAAAATGCGTGAATGCACATAGAGGAAAAGTGGTCATTCAACATGTGCATGAATTACGAATATCAAAAAGATAGCCTGAATAGAATGACAAAGGCGTCTGGTTGCAAAACATGTAATTTTTATTAAATTGAAAACAAGTAGGTTGTCTCGTCGTTCCAGGTCAGAGAAAATGTTCCGCGCCAAAACAGGAAAGCAAGATGGACAAGGCGGGAAAAGGTTTTTATCAAAATGAAAGAAGGTTCTGGAAAAAGGACTCGTTAACACGAGGTGTAGGTGTGCACAGATAAAAAGAGTACTCACTGTGGATTTTGGCATTGTAAGTGCATGTAGTATTTTTTTGTGTTTTTTTTTTCTTTTTTTTATGTTCAGGTTCAAAGTAATGAGAAAGTTCAGTCATCTCAGATTTTTGGTCGAAAGGCAAAAGGGAAATGTAACCAGTCGTTAACTTAAGGACATTGAATTAACTGCTGAAAATTTTATCGGATTGATGTGGACGTCTAGCCAAAAGGACGAAGAATTATTTGCAGTTGGTTGCATCGTCTTGGTGAAATTACTTATGGCAAGTCAAGAGAGACGAAGAATTATTTGTAGTGAGTTGCATCGTCTTGGTGAAATTATTTATGGCGAGTCAAGAGAGACAAAGAATTATTTATTCGTCAATAAGATATCCTTGTCTGTATTATGGTTGACTGACGAGGGATAAAAAAATAAGTCACTTGTTGATAAGAAGTTCTGCCCACGACTGTGTCGTGTGTCTCGACGTTTTCTAGCCAAAAACGGAGAAGGTCTGACCTGTGGGTAACATCAAGACGCGAAGAAGTCTTGGGAAAGTGTGAGGTCGACATGCTGAAATAAGATATTCCGGCCCGCATATGGGTTAAGGGCACGGAATAAATGAGTTGCCCATCTAGTTAGTTTGAAAATCGGGATGCAACTGGTTAGGAACGCTGGCATCCGTGACATCAAGAAAACACGCGGGAAAAAATTCAAATTCTGTTAGGCTGACTTTATCAGCAGGAGCTATAGTAAGCGACCTTCCTTCCTTCAGATTACTGCTACGTCTAGCTGAAAGAGAGAGGAAGGGGTGCAATCCGCGCGCACACACGCACGAGTGTGGAAGGAAAGGAGGAAAACTTGCGCGCGCGTAAAATGTAGATGGAATTACTATGTTATTCCATAAGGTCATATACATTGGAATTTCGAACTAAAGCCTTTTTGTCCACAGGGGTAGATTGTCCTAATTGCACATGCCATGACTTATTTAGGTATCTTGGTTTCAGTTAATTCCCTTTAGTAACTCAACTTTCCAAGTTTTTGTTTCCTCTGCTGTGGCCAACTATTGAACTCACAACTTTGTGTCAAGTCACTTTTTGGATTACTCAACCAATGCCTTTATCCACTGGGTCATGTGTCCTCAATTAACTGATATCCAAAAAAGGCACAGCACACAGAACAACCTACCCTGGTGGACTAAATAAAGGGTTTGGTTTGAAATTCCAATGTATATCACCTGAAGAAGGTCAGAGTGTACAATGACTGAAATGTTGTGAATATAGCAATAAAGATGAGGACAACAGTCCAAATAATGTAAATAGTTACAATACATTGTCTCAGAAATATAGACAGAAAATCAGAGATATTAGATAATCCCTTCTTATTTGTTATAGTATATCAAAAGAAAAATGTTTGACACTTCAATTTTAAGAAAGAACTGAATCTTCAAAAATGTTTCAATTTTTCTTTTTCTTCCAACTTTTGAATTGTATCTGAAATATTATTAAGTGTCTTAATAGCTAAAAAATAAACTAATCACTATTATCCACTATAAATTTAACCTTTTTTGGCGGTGGGGGAGTGACAAGAATGTATGAATTTATCATATTCTCTTATGCAATAAACCAGATCATTTTCTCTTGGACATTCTACTGTTTGACAATTTCATCATTAGGACATCCCTTTATGATCTCACTGGTGACATATTTATTTATTTGGATGGCCATACAATGAAATAGGGAAATGTTGTTTTTTTTTTTTTTTATTAAAATCATTATTCAACTGTTTGATTACAATTAAGTTAAAAATCCACATCAAAAAGAGAAAACCTATTGATACTTATTACCAATGTTTATTGCATCTGTTTCTGTATCAAATGGCATTGTGACAAGTTCTTCACTGTAATTTTACCTTAGTAATGTAAGATTTTTAAAAAATCATTTCAATATTCTATGTTATTTATTTTTTTTAAACTTTATGTAATATTTTCTTTATTTTTTTTTCTCTCCTTATTAAGGTTGGACAGGAGAGCGAATTTGTTTTGCAGGTGATAGTGCTGGAGGCAATCTTGTACTGGCTGTCACTATTCATGCTATTGGTTGCAATATTCGAGTACCAGATGGAATTTTGGGCGTCTATACATCTGTCCTAATTAGCTTGGTGCCCTCACCATCTCGTCTCCTCAGCGTCATGGATCCACTTTTACCAGTTGGTGTCATGCTTAAATGTCTTGATGGTATGTACCATTTAAAAGGATAAAGTGCAAATATTATCTTTCTCTGTGTGTGTGTGTGTGTCTCTCTCTCTCTCTCTCTAGCCTTTTCTCCTTACTTACCTACCTTTTTAACTTTTTGTCCTGTCCATTTCTTTGTTGTTTTTTTTGTTTGTTTTTTTTTTTTCTTGTCTATCCATTTCTTTGAAGTCATACTTTTCCGCAATCATAGTGAAAATATCACACACAAGTTTATTTTTGGCACCTGGGAATACTCAAAAAAATTTTATCATATAAATTAATAGTAATTGCCTCTTTGTTTTTATACCATTTTGGCTTACAGAAGGTTTTATGAGAATGTTCTATTTCAGACTTTAATTTTTGGGGAAACGTGTGTGTGTGAGAGAGACAGAAAGATGAGGAGTTCCTGAAAAGTTCTCTGCCTGACCAAAAAGCCTTTCCAAAATAATCTGATGTTTACTCCTTTGGTCAGATTTCAATAAGTTTTCAGCTGTGAACTTTTCATCACCCCCTTTAGATATATATATTAATAAAAGGGTTAGTGTGGAGGATAGACTTAATTTCTGTCTTATTCATAAATAGTAGAAAATAAAATTTCTTCATATTTCACTCGCTTGAAATATTACGCATGAAATGACTCCATATAGATATTAGGATGCCAGAAATTGAATGTTTTCTCTTTAAATTTTAGTAAATACTAGACTACCTGTGACCTGTTGGGTCAATGATAATTCAAGTTATAAAATAATGAAGTTGATTTCACCATTAAAAAAAATTCTGTTTGAAGAAAATTGAAATAAAAATTCTTACTGTATAAGCAACTCATATTTTTTTAAATCTTATTCACTTAAAATATTTTTTCAATATGCCCAAAAATATTTTTAAATATTTAAAATATTGTTTGTTTAAAAAAAACTGAAATATAAATAATTACTCTACAAACAACTGGATGAAACAGCAAAGTGGGATCACTTTGTGTCTGTCTTTAACTTAAAAATATTTTAATTAAAAAATGTTTGTTTGAAGAAAGTTAAAATAAAAATACTTACTGTATAAACAACTTGTATTTTTAAATCCTATTCACTTAAATCAGATTAACTTAAATCATTATGTGCCAGACGGATACACCACACAAGCATGCATGCAATCACAGACTTTTAGTATAATATAAATTTAATGACCATTGTTCAGATGTCCTTTTTTCTTCAATTTTTTAAAACATTGATACCTTTTTATTGAAGAAGAAAAATTATAACATCAATAAGCAAAATAAATTTTCAGATTTCTATAATTCTGATTTAAAAATAAAAATTGGCAAAGTTTAGCTTAAGACAAAGCCAAAAAATAGTGTCAAAAAGACTTTTTTTCTCTTGACATTGTTACTAAATGTATGCTCTAGTCTGGTAATTTTTATTCTAAGAATTTTAATAAAACAATAAAATCGGAAACAGAATTTATATATTTTCTTTCTCAAGATTTAACTGCAAAAATTTTAAACACTATTTATTCAATTGTTTATTTGCAAGATTATAAAGAGATAGGACAACAATAACAATTTTTATAAAAATATATAATTTAATTTTTGATCTATATCAGTAAATTATATACAAAATTAAAATATTCTTGTTATTTACAATAAAAATTTTTATATTTACAAGATTATAAAAAAATATATGAACAAACAATATTTATTACTTAGCATGTTATAAAGAAATAATTATGAAAATAAATTTTTCTTCATAAAATTATAAAAGTGTCTGTGAACTACAAAACAAGATTTTAATTAATACATAATGGCAAGTTATAAATTTTGAAATAACACATTTTCTGAACATTTCATTTGCTCTTACCACATAATTTCACTAAAATAGCTTGAGAAAAAAGATTATATATTTCACATATGGTTTTATTAAAATTGTAAAAATAACTTTTTAAAACAATAAAAATTAACCAAGTACTATACGTTAATAGCAGTGACAAGAGAAAAATGTTATTTGACAAAATATTTTTTTTGACTGGCCCTAACTTAACAAAAAAAAAAAAAACTTTTTGCTTATTTCTTTATTTTTACTTATGAACTTTTACTTTTGTGACACTACTAATTTGGAGGATAGAAATTCTAATCCAAATGTCATTTTGATGGCTTCTTGTTGACAATGAGAAATGTGAAGGCAGACAAGACATAAACCAGAAATCTAATTTTATTGTTTTGTAGATGTTGGTCATCTCCACAACCTGGATGTGAGATAATTGTCCACTTGTCAAGGTTTTAGGATTAACAAACATTCCATAATGTCACTAATTTATAAAGCGTTGAAAGTGGGACTTTGTCATTTATTGGGGATATTTTTCTCTCCACTCGCAGTTGTTAACTGGACATTCTTTCATTTCTTAGCATCTCTATACTCATGTACAGGAGAGGAATTATTTCTATATATTGGTATGTCACACTCTGCACATTTCCATTAGTTGCAAGAAGAACAGTTGGGAAGTCCTAACTCTGATACATTACAACTAAAACCTGACCTATACATTGATGAGAATTTCTGCTAATTTTTACATTGTATCATATCAAAATAAATCCATATTAAATATGTTTCCTCTTTTCAAACACAGCTGTTTTACAGACTATAGAAAATATCAATGTGATACAAAAAGCCACTGAATACTTGTTACTGTGTAATGTTAGTAACCTCAGATAAGAATATGTGAAAAACTTTTTCTATACATAAAATAAACAAAATTTTATTCACTTTTGGGCTCTGTAAAATTAACATCAATGGGATATTCAATAAAGTTCAGACTTGCAACACAGTAATAATGCTATACTAGACTCACTCAGTATCTCTTAACCTATTATTCAAATTAATGTACACATGTGAATTTAAGCAGAATAGACGTGTGTATGTAAACTGAAGTCCAGAAAATTAGACAACTACCTAATAATTTAATCAGTTGTCATTTTGAATCCTAAACTTTTATTGTCCTTTCTCCTCACTAACGTTTTCTCGCTTTCTTTCTGTAACCTCTTGGATCTTAATGGTTTTATCACCCTTGCTTGGGTTGAAAGGGTAAAAAAAAATATTAAAAAATAATAATAATAATGTATATTTCCTCCATTTGAATAATGACAACTATGCAACATGGCTTGAAGTCTATGAGATGTATATATATATATATATCTATCCAGGTACATTCAAGAACTCTGCTTAACTGAGTTGGGTGTGGCTAGATGGGATTAGTGAGGTTTGTAACATGTCCCATATATGCTCAATGGGGTTTAAAACTGGTGAACACGGAAGCTAATAGAGTACTTGTATAACAACAGTATGTTTCTAGAACCAGTTTTGTATCATCTAGAGACAATGGAGTTGGTGATGGGGTATACATATTCTTACTAGAAGCAAACCATCACCTCTAGGGAGGTATTTTACATGAAAAGAAGAACAACAAATGGTCTGTGGATGTTATACTCATCAAGATAAACTTCATTTTCATAGTCCTATTGAAATTCAACAGAACACACCCCATACAATTAAAGCTACTACTAGTTTGCATAACAGGCTGGATTCATAGTGTAATGCAATCTCTTCCAAAAAAAAAAAAAAAAAAAACCTATAAAAATAACTCTTCAGGCCAGTCTTTTACGGTCCACTTGTAATGTTATCTGGCCCCAGGTAAGGCCTGTAACTTATGCCATAATGTTAATAATGGTACCCTTGTTGGTCAATAACTATGAAACCTCATGAAATACAGTGGGCTTGATAAAGTGCATTGACAGATGAGTTGAGCAGTAATGAATTGATATGCAATTTGATGCCTTTGTCTCTCTTGTCAGTTGTTAGTTGTCCTGTTCTATTGTCATCTGTGTGTACCCATACTTTTCATGTGCTGTTGATGTCTCCATAATTCACATGTTTGTAGTATACCCTTGGCACTGTTTCCATATTGTAGATCATGCCTCATTTTTCTCATCCCAACGATCTTTTTTTTTTTTTTTTTAAATCTATTCACTCCAAGCAAGGTGATAATGCCACTAAGATACAAGGGACTACTGGGAATGAAAGCGAATGCAAAAACATTAGAAAGAACCTAATTCTAATCAGAAAACAAGCAATAAATCTCTACTCCTATTTAAAAGACTGGGGAGGAGTGTGAACCAGATGATAGGTGAACCTATCTGCATGGAAATGGTGGTGTTAAACCCTGTTTATGTCAATGGTTGCCACAGCTACACTATATCTTTACCTATAATCTTAACTGAGTTAATTTCATCATATAGAGGATGACAAAATCATCCAGTCTATTGTTGTCTCTAATTATTCTTAGCACTTCAGTTTAAATTTACCTTATTTGTATAAAGGAATTTTATATGTAAAAACAAAGATGTTTTTAATCATTGAAGCTTTCATGCCCAATTTGTTTGTGTGTTTTAGCCTACATTGGAACTGCCACAGTATCCTATAACTATGGTCAAAGAGAAGAGAACCATGAAGATGAACCAATTGAGGAATCTCCCAATACAGCTCAACTGACTGTCAACCCTGAGTTCTCCTCTTGTCCTGCCACTCCACTTACTGACAATGAGCGGTTACATTTAGAGGCAAAAGATTTAGAAAACAATATTATCCAACCCCCAAACACCTTCCTTCCTTCAGATATTGGAGACTTATTTGGCACTTCCAAGTCTCAAACACCTTCAGAGAAATCAGATTATTCAACACCACAAGGCTTGTCTCCAGTGAAAGTCACCAATAATCAGGTTTCCCTTTCTGACCAAGAAGATGAAGATGGCTGGGAGGACATATGTAATATTGTCATACCACAGACAATGCCATTGGTTGAATCTGAGGATATTGTCTTCTCTCAGTTCTCAGATCAAACCCCAAGCTCAGCTGCTGTGGATAGTTATTCTTCAGTTAGGCAGCAACTCTTCAAGACCAGTCCTGATAGTGGAATCTCACTAAATGATAGTCGCTCTAGAAACTGTGATAAAAATTTTGTCTCTGAACCCAATTTGGACCTTGATTCTTCTTCTGGTCTACCTTCTTCACCCAATCCAATCAGCCATAGTATCTCAACCCCTGCATTTCACATCAGGCGACCAGAAAATGTCAATATCAGAAGACCCCACCTTACATCTTTTGAGCCACAAAATGTTCAGTTGGCTCTTGAACGTTTCCTCAAACTGCCTGTGATAAAGAATCCTTTGGTTTCTCCAATTTTTGCATCTGATGAACAGTTGCGAATGTTTCCAGAAATCAGTTTAGTGGTAAGTAAAGCTGATAATTTTTTATTCATTCTTTACTAGAAATTCCATACAGTTTAACATTGATTTTTTTTTTTTTTTTTTTTTTGTGTGCATTCAACTTCTGCAAGTTGCCTAAAGATTCTACATTATTTCACTGTCTGCATATTGTTTTAATTTTCTAAATAGGTAACTTTTAGGAAAATTTGAGCTAGTAGATATAATACTATTATTAAATATAATAATAGTAATAATTCAAATATAAACATGTAAGGAAATACAAATATTTTACTTGAATCTTTATTTTTATGGATCATTTGATGGATTCTATTTTTATTTCATTTTTATTATATTTATTTATATACAGCAATAAAAAGCAGACATATTGAAAGAATATTCATAAAAAAAGAGTGGTAACAAAAATATATATTACTGTAAATTGGTAATAAAGATATATACTGTTTGAAAACAGCTTAACCAGTTTATTAGTTGCAGTAATATATATTTTTTGTTATGAATGTTATTTTAATATGTTTGTTTTTATTGCTGTAATAAAATTTTGTACCCCTTGCAAAAATATTTATTTAGGGTTGATTAGAAAGTAATACCTGTTCTTTAATTACAACAGATATCATAACAGTAGAAGCACACAAATAAACCAAAATAAACACAAGTTACAAGATTTCAATTCTAGTCTTCAACTTAGTCTCCTTCCTTCTTAATTGTCATATACTAACATTTGAATGATGACGTGTAAACATTTCTTGGCTGTTTTTTTAGCCATTTTCAAATTGCTTGTTTTCCCTCACCATTGGAGAAGTACTGTTCTTGAGGTGCCTCTTCATGGACCCAAATAAAGTTTGAGTGTGCAAACTCAGGACTTGGAGGGTTGATGTGGCAAGGTTGTCCAGCCATATACTGTAATTGCTTGTCTGGTTTTTAAGCTGCTGTGTATTGTAGCAAAAGAAAAACACATATCCTCAGATACAGAAATTCTATAAATGCTCTTTGCTTTCTACATGTGTCCAGAGAAGCAGTTATTTTTAAAGACAATTATAGGTATGAAAAGAGAAAGTAACTACAATTTTTCCCCTGATTCTGAACACTTTAGGGTTTTAGGAATTCTGATTAATAATTTTAAAATTAGAACAGGTGTAGCAAGATAAAAACTCCTTTATAGTAGGATTTTACAAGCAAGTATTAGTAGTTATGTGTTACTTTTAGGTCAATTGAAAAAATTGACAAGTGAAATTTTTTTCTTCCATTAGCAGGAATTTAGTTAGAAAGGCACGGATAAAGAAATAGATAAATAAAATTGTAGAATTGATGGTAGGAATTCTCACCTTGGTATGAATTTATTCTTAAATATGGAATTGACCAGACTGAAAAAGGGAAATGTTTAGGGATAGCAGAAGTTATCATATTTGATAATAGTTGAAATAATTTCATCTATCTTAAAATAAGAGAATCTGATTGAGAGCCAAAAATCAGGCCAGAAGGAAATCAGACAAGCCAAACCATTGTACTATTGCTATTAAAAATCATGCCATGAATATATTGAGCCCATGAAGCCGCTTCATCCATCCACAGTCTTGACAGATTGTTAGAACCTCTTCCAACAAGAGATTAATCTGCTGGAGGTCCTGGCAGATGGTGTCCTTTCGATGTGTGGTCTCCCACAAGGTCATTGCTAGTTTTCAGATGGTCAGTCGAACTAGTAAATGATTCTGGTAGGGTAGTTATCAGGTTGTCGCAGGATGTGACTAAGCCAGCAAACATTGCTGAGTGATTGTGCAGAGGATATTCAGCTGGCCATTCCTCTGGTGAAGTTCCTTATTAGACACAAGGTCGAACCAATGCACCCTTTATATGGTCCTGAGGGCACAGGACTTGAAGCCATAGATGCAGGAGGCAAGAATCTTTCTGAGAGGCCAAGTCTCAACACCACATAGTAGCACAGAGAGGATAGTGGTGTTCTAAACTCATAGCCTGTTGTATCTGGAGGTGTTGTGTTGCCGGCATAGTGGTCGCCAGAGGTCTCTCATGACATTTGCAACCAGTCCACGTCTTCTGTTGATCTCCATATGGTGGTCACTAGCATTGGGAACTTCTAAGCCCAAGTATACAAAAGATGTGAACTCAATGAGGTTGCTACCAATGTTGATTGGCAGTGGATCAGAGCTTGGTCTTAATCAGCTGGCACACAGACCAAGCCTTGTTGCTTTTTCATTGAACATATGAAATGCCCCCTCCAACCCAACCAGCAAACTGTATTGTGTCAGGTTGGTTAGCTTATAGTCTCTGAGCTGAACATCAGGGAAACTGTTGCACCCTGCATCCATCAGGTGGTCAGTGATACAGTTGAATAAATCAGGGGCAACTACACAATCCTGGCGGATACCGGCAGCAATTGGAGAACCAGTTGAAAATCTTTCCATTAATTTACACACAACTCTCAGCACCATCATAGAGTATAGTGAAGAGGGTGAACCGTTGTACCAAATGAATAAATTCTCGAATTAAAATCCTAACTCAAAGAATTAACAGAAAGATACAGTCTTTGTCTGAAAATCAAAGGTGTCTCATGTAGAGAATCACTTGGGAATACCAAGTGGTGTAATGAATAATGGCTCAGAATTGTTAATCTAAGAGCTGGGTTTCAATTCCAGTTGGATTTGTTAGATTCACTCACACATAAATAATTTTAGGTAAATGTATGAATCCACCTCTTCTCTGCACCAAATATGGGTTAATTAGTAAGACTTGCCTCATTATTATCTAAAAAAAAAAAAAAACATCCTTGCAATCTAAAAAAGATTTCTGACTTAAATAACCTGCAATCTCATCTAATCTCCGCTTGACAATACAGATAAGAACAAAAAGAACAACTCTGCAATATAGAAGTAAACATTTTTTTCTACCAATAGGCAAAGCAAGAAGGATGACAGTTCACATAGGCATTACTTTTTAACTGACACTTGCAGTTATTTTGAAATATGTATTTTGATATTGTTTCTTAAATATTATAATTGTCTTTTTTTTTTTCTTTTTTGTTTTTTTTTTTTTTTTTTTTTTTCAGACTTGTCATTTTGATCCATTGTTGGATGATTCTGTTCAACTCTGCAAAAGGATGAGGCAGTTAGGAAAAACAGCCGACCTAACAGTTTTAGAAGACCTTCCTCATGGTTTCCTTAATTTTGCACTAATAAGCAAGGAAGCACGGCAAGGATCAAATGTTTGTGTTTCTAAACTTCGCAAACTGCTACAAGTTAGCTGAATTTTTAAAAGTCTGTATTTATTTTTGCTTAACAGCTTTTTATTCACTAATAGTTCACCTGAGATGTGATTGACTTATCTATATCACTTGGGTTTGAGACAAGTTTTCTTTTTTTTTTTTCCCCTTTCTCTTTTTCAAGGCACAAAGAACTGTTGGGCAGATGATTGTGAGGGTTTCATTTTATCATGTACTGATCAGATCTTATGACTCTCCATACTGAAGAGTTCTTGTAATTGCAGGGATATTTAATATTATCAGGCAGGTGGACAGATAGAAAAATTCAGCAACTGTCTGGTAATGTTTCCATTTCAAGACTGGTTCTGGCATCCAAAAATGTTGAAGGGTTAGTACATTTATTCCTCAAGCTTGAAGATTTAATTGTGCTAATTTTATGCGACAGTGGAACTTTGATAAAACCTAATTGCATTTCAATTACTGGTTCATTTGTTATTTTTAAAAAAAAAAAAAAATTGAAAATTAAAGAAAAACATTCATAATTCTTTTGGCTTCACTTGATAACAAATAATCTTAACAAAATTTGTTCAAACGAAAAATGAACATTTCTTCTCAGAACCTCACCTCCAAGAAATAATCATTTTGAATTTTTTTTTGTCTCTCTCTCTGTTTTTTTTTGTCTCTCTCTCTCTGTTTTTTTTTTGTCTCTCTCTCTCTGTTTTTTTTTGTCTCTCTCTCTGTTTTTTTTTGTCTCTCTCTCTGTTTTTTTTTTGTCTCTCTCTCTGTTTTTTTATTTGTAACACAATTAAACAAGCACTGCAGATCACTTCATTTTTTTTTTTTTTTTCTTAATTTTAAGAGGAAGAAGTTCAGTTTGTTACATAAATTATTTGTATTTACATATTTATTCCTTGCATATACAATGAATTTAAATAGAAAAATGGACCCCTCTCTTAAAATTTAAAAAATAATTTTTTTTTTTTTTTTTTTTTTTTTTTTTGTATATTTGTGACCTGGAATCAATACTAATATATAGAAAATAATTTCTTGGCGAGGCATGTTATTATAGCAACAGCATAGTCTTTTTTTATTTTATTTTTTTCCCACACATCCTTTTATATTTAGGGCATTTTTAGCTTTGTCTGTCTATTGGAAGATTCATTTTGTTGTTAAAATAACCAAATTTAACCTTGGACTTTAAAATGGATATCTCAAGTAAAGGGATTGGTTATTGCTATTATAAGTAGAATCTTAGTTGTTTATTGTGATAAAAAAATAAAGGGAGTGATCAAGGAAAATGTTATGTACAATAATACTTTATAATCCCATTTATTTATAAAGTCCAAGTTACATTAATATAGAAAAATATTGCTTGACGCATTGAAGATTCAAGCCGTAATTAAATTTAATATATGAAATGATCTGTGGATCTCATTACTAAATATTCAGTTGTTTTTATAAGTTTACTCTGTTGAACTTTGTCTAGACTTAGTCTCTGTGCTATCCTCTGTTTTTTTTTTTTTTTTTTTTTTTTTTTTTTTTTTTTTTTTTGTTTTGTTTTTTTTTTTTTTTAAATATTAAAAACAAGATTTGAACTTTTTTATAAAAAGTTCAAATCTTGTTTTTAAATTTTTTTTTTTTTTTTTTTTTTTTTTTAAGATTCATTAAACTTGATAATTTAAATTTGATTTAAGTAATTGTCTTTAAGAAAGCTGACTCAATTCAAATTAAAAAATTAAATGCTGTAACTACTTTTTTATATAAATAATTCCTATTCTATTGTTACAATGCAGAGAAATGTAGTGCTGAGTCAGCCAACAGGTAGAAATGTTAGTCTGGAAAAATTAATAAATTGTGGTAATGGATCATCTCAAAAGTAATATATCAAATGATGATGAAAAAAATCAGCTGTTGAAAACATGAAATAGAAATATAGTCACAACAGGCAAACATACCTCATCTTGAAAACATTATTTACCAGGATGATCATTATACCATTTCAGAAAAAAAATCTTCAAAAAACTTAAAAACTGAATAATGCTTTCCGTTCTTTGCAACTAGGTTATGTTATCCCCAGGGACAGGAAATTATTTTTAAGAAGCTTATATAATTGTTTAAAATTTTCTACATTTATAAGGGAACAGTGCTCAGTATTGAGAATAGATCCTTTGACAGTATAAATGTAGAAATCAATACTGGTTGGTGTCTGGTGGTTTCACACCTTAAGCAATTATGTGTTATTTCTCTTTGTGTAGGTTCTTTGTGCAGGTCACCTGAGGTTTATAGGATGTGGGATAAAGGTGGAATGTTTTTGATTTAAAGCTAATATTTGAAAAGATTGTTTGAGTTTATTTATTTTTATTGTTATATTCTATTTTTATTTGTATTGTATTTAATTATTTTCTTCAGTTCTAAAATTTAGTATTTCATTTCAAATAAAGTTGAATAAGTTAGTCTCTGGAATCATGATGTGGTTGTAGGAAGTATAGTAAAAATTTGTCTTCAACTCTACATCTGGAAATGAACTCTGAAATTTAAAAAAAAAAATTTTATTCAAGGTCAGATAATAATCTAAAAACATTTAGCCCTTAAAAATAATTAAAAAAAATTGGAAGATGGAACAGTTATTGACTTCCTATAAGCCACCAGTAGCCTACATATAGACCTTTCACAAGCAGAAGTGACACATGACCTAATGATTACTTAAGGCATAGAACTAACAATTACCATGCAGCATTGATTTGTATGTCCACTGTTATACACATGTACTCTCCAATCAATTTATTAATACTTAGGAACTTGAAAAAAAAAATAGTTAAAATAATTCTTTAGACATGTCTAAAAAAAACAAATAGGCTCAGCTTAATTAAGATTAGAATGGAGAGATATTATTATTGAATATTATTATAAAAAAGTAAAGATCTTCAGAATCAGTTTTCTAAAATTAAATCTTCTTTCAGATCAACTTGTTCTCAAGACAATTTAGGAACAGAACAAACTTTCCCTCTTTCTTAGAAAGCCTGCCAGACAATTACACGTTCTGTCTATTGTCTTCATTTTTAAAATCAGAGTGCCTAGACCAACTGAAACTTCTTTTATTACAGAATTCACTAAAATATAAATTGTGTAATAATGCAGTATATTGCCTGTTAGTAATAGGCAAGATCATTGAATATAAAAAAAGTGTGGTGAACAAATAAAATGACTACAGTAAATGATAATTTATGAATTTTTATATTGTATAATGCTAAAATTCATGTACATATTACTATACTATTTCTTGATTTTCTTTACTATTTGCATGTTAAATTTATAATCAATTCTAATATAAAATGTATACAATGGAACATAGGAACAGTTTATTCAGGAACTTTACAAGTTTAAACTTGCATTAAATATTGTTTGTGTAGCAATGAGGTCTTATAATATTTTTGTATGTCATAATTGACTTTGAGTTTATTTAAAAACATGCATACATATGCACACGTGCATATACTTGAAATTATTTTAAAGCTATGTTGATGGTTTCTTCCTATGTCAAAAGGCCATTATGTCAACATCTTTTTATTTTATTTGTCTGTTTTTGTTTGTGTTTTTTTTTAACTCTTCCAAAATTGTAAACAATATCAGTAGAGTATATCTATATATATTTTTTTAAGAAAAAAAAAAAAAACCTTTACATTATTTGGCAAACAATTCTGGCCATTTGGCTATTGTTGAAATTTGTTCAAGAAAAGTCATCCACGCTACTCCTTAAAGACCAATGATGTTTCTTAAATATTTTTGGAAATCTAAAATACAGTTTCTGTTGTTATTGTTTTAGAAATTCTATATAAAATTTTTGAATTTTCTTTATTCTAATTAAACTTAAAATCAGGAGTACAATTATTTTCCATGAAATTTGATTAGCATTATTTTTAAATTTTTTTTTTTTTTTCTCTCCAATATTTAAATTTAATATGGCAGTGTTGACTAAAGCACAGAAATTATTTTAAATTTCTAACCTCTTTATTGCTGTGTGTGGTATTTTTCAGTTAGTCTCGGGCTTTTTTGAAGTGAGATTTCCTCTACTCTAGAATCTATTGTTCAGTTTTGCACAAAATAAAATTTCACTTAATGAAGACCTGAGGAAGGACTGTATTGATGTTGAAGGGATAAACAAAGATTAAGAGATAAAATTTGAAGTATTGTTTAGACTCTTTTATATCTGTGGTTTTAAACTATTTCATCTGACCGTTCTTCAATCTTTGTCAGGTGTAAATTATTTACTTGAGAAAAAAATGAAGGAAAACTTGAAAAAGAGATGTTTTTTGTTTTTTTGTTTTTTTCTTCTCTTTCTCTCTCTCTCTCTCTCTCTTTGAATTACACTTGTTGAAGCCTGAAAATGCATCAGCTGAAACATTCTGCTAACAACATTAAACATACAAAATCAAAGTGTTCAAATAATATTTGCAATGGTAACAACTTTTCTCAAGATTATAGATGAAGATATTGAATATTAATAACTCATTTGAAAACGTTCTAACAAAAAAAAATTATGGTTTTCTAAATTGTCTTCAGATCTCTACAATGTATAGGAAATGTCATTGGAATAAGTCACAGGATGAAAGAGAAAGCTTCACAAATAATGGCTCTATTTTTTTATACTTGCATTCTCATACAAAGAAATAAAAGTATTTATTAATTTTATTTTTAGAATGGATAGAGTGGTGGGGGAAAAGGATTTTTCAAGTTACACCTAAATTTTATAACAGATTTCACTTTTTGCAACATAACATAACATAAAGGAATATTTTGACAAAGAATATTTGATAAATGAGGCTAAACCTTAAAATAAATTTATGAACATGTTCGTTAGAGAAAATACTAGAAAGATACTTTCTGAACTAATATTAATATTTGGATAAAATAATACATAGGAATACATATGGATAAGAGGGGCTGGGTTGAATTTTGGGAGCATAAATAAAGGGGAGATAACTAAAGGGACAGAAATACAGTTCATAAATACATGGAATGTAAACATTTTTTGAAAAGATACTATT